ACAGGTGGAAAGAAAACCCAAAGAAGTTAGAAGACTTAAAACCATGAGAGTTTTTAACTAACACTTCCCAAAGATGATAGCACTGAAATACCTTTCTTTTAACACTTTTACAAATCAGAGGAAATAATGCATGCGACTTAAGCTGTACATACAAAGTAACTGACACATGCTTTGGTTTGAGATAGAGTTACATTAAAATTTTGTGACACTAACTCAGGTTCCTCTTCTGTCGATCAGAAACTAATTGCCAGTGTTACATGTTACAAAAATGAAAGAACTATGATAGCATGTTAAGCACATAACTTCTCCCAAGAATTAAAAGTAAAAAATGTAAATGCTATCTGAATTTCATAATGAGGGAACAGTGAAATCCTGAATCCACCAGGACTCCTGATGCACTCACAAGCCCTTTCCAGAGCGCATGCCCTCTGTTAGCCTTCTTGCTAGGGGAAGGATACTGTGGTTTTGCAGGAGAAATTTAAATGCTTGAGAGCTTGCTGTGGCTTTCCAGGGGAGGTAGATGTAATGTCAATGAACACACGGGCTCACAGACATCAGAAGGGGGACACCTCAAACTCTGACAGGATAAATTGCACATCGAGAGGCCTTCTTGGGCTTCATTCAGCAGCTAGTATATTTTTTGTGTCAGCTGGTCTTGGGACTTGAACTCAGGGCCTGGGTGCTGTCCCTGAGCTTCTTTTGCTCAAGGCTAGCACTGTACAACTGAGTCACAGTTCCACTTCCAGCTTTTTTTCTGGTAGTCACTTGAAGATAAGAGCCTCATGGACCATCCTTCCAGGCTGGCTTTACATCATGTTCCTCAGATTTCAGCCTCCTGAGTAGAATTACAGGCAGGAGCCGTTGTTACCTGACAACAGTTAATGTTTCTTTAAAGTTGCCACTTCCTATCCCCTGAATTGTAGCTGGCTATTTCTCTTTCCAATCCATCACACATTTTCCTAGCTTTCAACTTAGGCAGAAGCCATTCCCCAAACTCACCAACAGCCCCCAAGAAGGTGATGACCAGGAAATTCTTCATAATAGACTGGGATCTTGTCAGAGCAGATGATAAATGGCTCCAGCGTGGGTGTCCAAAATTCTCTACAAGAGTACCTATGAGGCCGGGGCAGAGAGGAGGGGCTCTATTTTGGGTTGAGATTTCACAAAAATCTCCAAACTAGTCCTGATTGAGAGCGAGTTGTATAAGGCATTGCTAGGAAACAATTTGGATCTGGGTGCCAAAGACCAGGCCAGGGAAGGCCCTGATGCTTCCTCTCTTGGTGCCAAAACCCCCCTGAATGTTACATGCATCTGCTGACCACTATCCTCCTCTGTCTGTGACATAAGCTTTCTTTGTTGTCTCCTCAGCCTTTGTCACTTTAACCCTTTCTCCCTGTCTTCCCTGGCCATGCCCTCTTTTTCAGTGTTCCTGTGCTATCTCCAGAAGCTCATAGAACATTCAGGTACAAAATACATGCAGTGAAATCATCTCTTTGCCTTCCCCTGTCATTTTGGTGATGAGTTTGTGGTTCTCATGGGAGTTAGCAGCACACTCAGGACTCTGAACAAAGTCTTCAGATTCTTTTTTAGTCTTCAGCTTCTCTATGACAAGTTTGAGCTTTACCTGAGCCCTGAGCTCCCAGAAAACAGGGATGGCTAAGAAATGGCCCCATCCTTTGTGTTCTGGGAAATGAATTACCACAAAGAATCTTCTTCCCTTGATTTGTTCAGACAAGCCAGACACTCGTTTTCATGACTCTAGTAAGATGTTGCTCCCTTGTGGACCAGTGACAAGTGAATTAAAAAAAAAAACAAAACGTTAAGTACTAGGTATAGTACAATGCAATCTAGTTAGGAGACTGAGATCTGAAAATCTTGGTTTGGAGTCAGCCTAGGCAGACAAATCCTTGAGACTCTATAATCTCCAATGAAACAAAAAAATCTAGAACTGGCAATATGGTTCAAGTGATATTCAGCTTTGTATAAAAAAAATCTCTGGGGGAGGTAGGGGAAAAAAAGGAGGGGTAACAATGCTTGATAGGAAACTCATGTAACTGTTACCTCTCTGTATAGTATCTTTACAATAAAATACATATATAAAAAAACAATGTGTAGAACAAGGAAAAAAATCTCTGTACCAGGCCCTGAGTTCATGCCCCAGTACCAGCAAAAAAAAAAGTATTTTAAAATTAATTAACATGTTTGTGTTATTTTCACACTTAAATGTAATGGGCTTTGGTCATATTCATCACCTTTATTACTTTGCCTTTTCCTACTGGATTCAATCCCCAGCAATACATACAAACACACAAACACACACTGTTGAGTCATAAAGGACTGTAAAAGTTAGATTACTTTAGCTGTACAAATTACTTGTGTATCTGAGTGTACTAATACTGGGACTAAACTCAAGGGACTTGGTACTATTTTGCTCAAGTCTAATTCTCTGTCACTGGAGTCACACCCCTGCTTTCTTCCTATTTTTTGTTGATTAATTGAAGATAAGGCTCAGAATTGTCTGCCCAGGCTGGCTTCAAAACTTAAGTCTCAGATCTAAGCTTTCTGAAGAGCCTGGATTATAGACCTAAGTCACCAGTGCCTTAGCCAGCTTAGTTCTGATGAAATTTACTAATGTGAAACCTACTGTTTGGATGTTGTCAAGAGCTCCAAACTTCAGAGATATTCATTCATCTCTTTATCCGAAGCTCTAAACTAGTAGTTAGTAATTTTTTCCTTGTGTTGTATGTCAAACTAATTTGTCCTTTGTAATAGGCCTATATGGGTGCTGGTGGCTTATAGTTATGATCCTAGTTACTCAGAAGGCTGAGATCTGAGGCTCATGGTTCAAAGCCAGCTCATGTAGGAAAGTCCATAAGACTTACATTCAATTAACCACTAAAAAGAAGTGGAACTATGGCTCAAGTGATATATTGCTAGTCTTGAGCAAAAACTTAGAAACAGTACCTAGTCATAAATTCAAGTCCTAGTATTGGTGCACATGTGCACACACACACAAATCTCCCAAGCATACAGTTGAACTCATAACACATCTCTGCCTTTTCCAAAAGATTTTATCCAGTAGACTGGGATTTGTTGTTCTTGTCAGGATACATTATATCAGCTGTCTCATTTCTCAATTAATTACTAACAATGCTAGAACTGGTTTTAGGCTATAAAGATTTGGAGATTTTAAGAGGAACTGATTCATACCCTAAAACTTTCATAAACAGAACATAGAGTAATTCTGATCAAGAACTCAGGAACTGATATGTTGAATTAAAGCCCCTTTGCATGACTAAATAAAAAGTATCCCCCCTCCCACCACCAAGGTTACTTTTGAGTGATGTGAACCCCTTGCACACTCTGATTCCTGACACATTGCTAGGACTTATCCTGAATTTTTCCCCATGTCTTTCCCAGCTACTGTTGCTGATCCTGAGAAGCCCCAAGAGAGAGAGAGAAAAAACCTCTCCACTGTTATTCCACCAGAGGAAAGGGGAACATTTTTTTTGTTTCTGTTTTATATCAACCAATCCATACTATCAATCTCTGGTCTCATTTTTACCATTTCCCTATAAAACCTTATCAATGACAACAGAAAGGCAACACCTGTCTTTTTAAATTTCTCTTTTTCTTTTCTACCAAAATCTAATAATCACCATAATAGTAAGACTAGAGAATGATCATTTGCTTTGTAGAGGATCGAGAGGGCTCATCTATGCAGGAGATAAGGAGTCAGAATTACCCCTACTCCTCTCTCATGACTACTGAGGTCAACTTTCTGTGAAGTCACTCAGTTGTGACCTCAGCAATCTCAAAATGATTCCACCCTCCCTCTTACTCCCCCTAAGTATCAGCTTAAATACATTGACATATATGAATGGGAGAATAAAGAATTTGCCTGCTATTAGAAATTTACACATTATAAAATATAGTCTTTAAGGAAAATTAGAGATTGAAATAACAAGACATATGGAAAAGGGCCTACTGGGTGGGATCAAGAATAAATGATTTGCCTTCCTCTCATCATTTCTCAGACCTGTTCTAATTTCCCATCTGATTTCTACTCATTTCTCTCATGAGGCTTAGGAACTTTTCTTCTACCTCAGGGAGTAATAAAAGTGTGGATTGGAGGCAATGATGAGAAAGAAGAAAAACTATTTCAGGGGAATCTGAAAATCCTTTGCTTCGGGGAACAATCTTGAAATAATGGGGATCTGAAAGTACTTATTTAAACAGAGAAATCTTCTATATGAAAGTAGTTCACACCATGAATGGACAGTGCAGGGAAAATTGAGGAATGAAATCGAAAAACCTTAAGTAGGACCAGACACTTACAGGCCTTGAATGGAAAGTGAAAGAATTCTAGATTCATCCTAAGGATAAAGATAAAGCAGTGTTAGAGACTCAAAGCTTCTCTTCAGATGTCTACCCTAATTATAAAAGGTTAAAAACTGTGTAATAAATATAAACATCAACAGAATGTGCAAAAGCAATATTCACAAGACAAGTTGGAAATCTATACAACTTGGGAGGCGGTTGGAGGGAGAGGAAGTGGGAGAAAAATGAGGGAAAGGGTAACAGGTTTGACAAGAAATGTACTTATTACCTTATGAATGTAACTGTGTACATCACCTTGACTATTAAAAAAAATACAAGTATCTTCCTGATATACTAAAGAAAGCATGACCAAAATGGATTGAAGCAAAAAGTGGTGATCTCATTCACCTTTTGGTCATTAAAAAAAATTTCATAGAGATGGTGGTAGCATAGTGTAGATAGCAAATCTTTACTGGGTAAGTTGAGTGAATGATGACATCAGCTTTTCAATTGTCTCTGTAAAATAGGGTGCCTGCCTGGTAACTCTCTAATTTAGCTGCAAGCTTGCATGGGGACGTGGTCAAAACCAAGCAAGGAATGAACTTAGACAAATTCATGAAAGACTGGTATTTTTATTGAGATGCAGAATGAAGGTGTGGTTGACTGCAGGAGAGGGATTGTGAAGAAAGAGAGGGGTTCAGTTGGCAGCGATGGTCTGCTGAATCCAGTCCAGGTAGTTGCACACCTTGGCGTAAACCCCAGGTTTTCCTTTGAGAGCACAGCCGTGGCCCCAGGAGACGATACCCTGGAGCTGTCCATTGCATACCACAGGGCCACCAGAGTCATACTACACAGGAAGGAAAAGACAACCAGAGCTCTTTATGTTCAGGAGGGAAATGAGATTTAAGGTGGTTCCCTACATCTTTTGGTCATCTCTACAGGCTACAGATGCTCCTCGAAACACTTCTTCTATCTTCAAATCCAACCTTCCATCTCCTTCTTCTAGGTCTATCATTCCTTCTTTTTGTCTTTCCTCGTTCTATTATGAGCCAACAATACATGATAATTTTGAGATTTAATGTGATCCTACTAGCTCTCCACCTTCCTGGGGGATCCATTCCACAAGAATTCCCAACCTAACACCATTCATGGCTCTTTACCCTTAGCTCTAATCATCATATGGAAAACTTATTATTTATCTCAAAACATTGCCCTGCCACTCAGACTGAGGTCCAGGGAAAGATGGACAACCTTGGGTATTTCAAAAATGAGAACTAGCATGGATAAGGAGATTTGATGATGATTGATGAAACTCACCTGGCAAGAGTCCTTTCCTCCTTCCAGGAATCCCAGACAGAACATGTTGTTGGTGATCTGGCCTGGGTAGGCCTTGTGGCAAACGGTGTCAGACAGGACAGGAGCATCCAGACATTGCAGGAGTGAAGGCAAGTTGACTATTGAACACAAGTGTCAAAATGAAAGAGCATGATTTCCCCTCCTTCACTAGACATCTATTTTTTCTTTCCAATTGCCAGTGATTTTTAATTTGGCAGATTCTTCGTTGACCAAAGAGTTCTTCAAATAGTACTACTCAACTTTGTGCTAGTTGATCACTGGTTTCAGTTTTCCCAGTTATAATGCCCCAATATATTTTATTCTCAACCAAGTAGTTATCTAATATATGTATATATGTATGTATGTGTGTATGTATGTATGTATGTATATATATATATATATGTATCTATCTACTCAGCTAGCTAGCTGTCTGTCTGTCTGTCTACCTACCTACTATCATCTATCATCTGTCTCAGAGATCAGTGAAACTCTTAGCTTCCCTTTTATTTATTTTCTCTATTCCTAGTTTTCTGTCCACTTATAATACACTTCAGTTAAATGCCTTATATTTTTATGGCAGTTAATTTTTGCTGTGTCTCCTACATGGCCTCAGCAAAGGAACCTTGCTTGTTTCAGTTAACAGCCGACCCTAGGCATCGCTTTCACTCCCAGCATTCTCCCACTTGATACTTTCTGACACTTACAGCCATTGCTCACAGTGTTGCCACAGCCAGACACAAGGCACTGAGTACCAGCAGATGGACAGGATGTTGGCAGAGAGACAGTGGACACACGAGAATTGATGGTGGCGGGTGACTTCAGTTTAATCAGCATGATGTCGTTGTCGATGGTGTCTTCCTTGTACTCAGGGTGTGGGATGATCTTGGCTGCATCAATGAATTGTGCATCACCCTCAATGGCATGAATGTTATGTTCTCCCAAATGTACCTGGAGTCGGCTGAATTTAAAGATTAAAAGTTGTCTAATGGATCTGTTTCCCTTCTTCAATCCCCAATCATCAATGTGAACAAAATACACAGTCATTCAGTCACACAGGTAATTATGCATTTCTGGGAAGTAGTATGCACTGTCAGGCACAATGCAGGTTAGAGAATTACTCTGGTAAGTGTCATTGTTAGTCAAGATTCATATCCCACCCTTTACCGTTCCAAAGCTAGGAATGGGAAAATAACTACTGTATAAAACAACTGTGGATAGATAAATAGGGAACTGGTGATCCATCAGTACTTGATTTTTTTTTTTGGCTGAGGTCACTCAGTCTTAGGTAGATGACTCAGGAATCAAAACAGTGTGTGTGTGTATACACACAGGCACATATATACATGTATGTGCATATATGTGTATATATACATGCATATATATGTGTATACATCTGTATATACACATCTGTATATGCATATATATGCATATACAGATGTGTATATATACATACATATATATGCACACATATGTATCAGGTATCTATATCAGGACCAATAATGTTTGTGTTTCATGTATTTCATACATCATGCATTTTACCATCTCCATAGGCCATTGTCTTGGATGAGATATGACTATTAACCTGGCTTAGCTTCTTAATTATACCCAGGGATCTTTCATCATCCAATTTTGTGCTTTATGTCTTTAGCACTAGTTTCAGCTCTTAAGAATCTGAATGCTTCATCCATCATCCATAACTCAACATTTTCTCCAAATGCTCCCCAGAGGACAAATTGGTCTTAGAGCATAGCAATAGGAATATCCGTTACTCACTGTTCATAGCAGTGGGCTGCAGACAAGACCCACTGGCCACCGATGAGAGAGCCCCCACATATGTGGCCGTCAGCGCTCAGGGACACCTGGGAGGGGAGGGAATTCTTCGCACAGGTGTAGCCCCTACTATCCTGTCATCTTCCTCAGTATGGAGAGCAACTGTCAGAGAAAAGTTGGGAGCTCTCCTTTAAACAGATCCATCATGGTCTCTTCATATACTATGATGTTTTTGCAGGGCAAAAGACATGATAATATTTATTTCTTTCACATGATCAGGAAAATGTTGGTTTTAAAAACAATTAAAAATAATCATTTATCATACCATTCCTTGAATGTATTCCCTTCCTATTTCACTATAAATAAAGATACATTTATAAAATGTACTGTTTATATTTACTATTTATGTATCATTTTACATACAACACCAACTCACACACACAAACTTTAAAAGATCAGAAATTATTTAGAGAATAAATATATTTCACTACCCCTCCTCGAACTCTGTTTGAGAGCCAGGCAAATATGTAGAAGTTTTACACTAATCTTGGTGATGTGTGTTGGTGCCAGCTGATGGTGTGTTGATTTGCAATCAACACAAAATGGAGGCTTATATTCTGGGCCATACAAACTGGTAGCTTTGAATCTTTATTTCTTGATTTTCCATCTTTGGCACTAATGTTTCATTAAATTATTTGACTAGTCATTTTAAGACTTCTCTCCTCCAAATTCCCCTTGTTCATCCCAGTTACCTTGCCACTATGTATCAATGAATTCCCTATTTGAGGTATGGCCCACATACCTGACGATCTTTCTTACAACTCCCAAAGGCTTCAACTATAGTATAGGAGTCCAACTTTCCCAGCAGCTTTAAATGATGTTAGGAAAAAAGGTTTTCATCATGTATACTGATCAGTTGACTTTGTATTTGTTCAGCGTAGGAAAAATATTAAATTTTAGTAGCAAAACTTTAGAAGTCTTAAAAATATTTGTCATTTCTCTTTTACTCACAATAGTCACATGTACCTTCATACCAGAGAGATTTCACTGGCAAAGTTGTCTTAAAACACAACCCAAACCTAGTGTGGTGAGACAGGACTGTAATTAATCCAAGCTACTGGGAAGTAGGGGTAGGAGGATTGAAAGCGTGGAGCCAGTCCAGGTAAAGTTGGCAACATTCTATCTCTAAAACAAAATGCAAACAACAGGTCTGAAAGCTTAATTTAAGTAGTAGAGTACCTGCCTATTTAGTAGGAAGACCTTAAGTCAATTTCCCATAGAATTCAGGAATGAAATGCTTCTAATTTTTTGGAACCTCTAGCCCAAATAAAAAGCCTGTGACTACTCAAGAGACAAAGGTTTTAATAATCAAAACCTACAGAGTACTTTTTATTATTAACTCCACGTTTTTATAGAGGTCAAAAGCAAGCATTCTGAGATGTAGACTATACTTTCCCTTCCCTTCCTAACTTACAGAATAACCCTGAAAGTTCAGGACAAGTTCTGTTGCTTTATACCCTCTACTCTGAATCATTTCTGGTGATCATGAACTTCCTCATACAAAACAAACTTATTCCGCTTTGAGGTTTTAAGCTTCTTGCCTGTGGGCCTATAATCAATAACCACTGCTATTTTCTTCAAGTGCAAAGCCAACTCTTACATCCAATTCAGACATCTACTGACACATTCCTTAGAGAGACTCACCAGCAGCTCCCAGGAAAATAAGGAAAATGAAGGTCTTCATGGTTTCGCAGAGAACCCAAACTGGGTAATGGGTTGAAGGTTTTCCTCCACATCTATTTATACTTCAGCTTTGTCACTGAAACTCATGCCAGACAGGTGATTTCATCAGAATCTCAGAAATCTAAATTTAGATTTCAGATCTGTGACAGATGGAAAACTCTTCAGAACAGAATTTAAATATCCATGTCTTCCCACCTTTCCTGAAGGTTATGGGAATGGAAGTAATAAACCCACCTGATAGACATTGCTCTTAATGAAAGGAAAATAAGCTAAAATGAGGTCACAGGACAGAGCTGAATGTTTCCATATTCCCAGACAAAAATCTTACCTTCTTGATTGTCTCAGAAGTGAACTTTTATTCTAAGGATTGTCCTGATTCTAAAACCCTTGTGTTTTATACACATCAACGGTCTCACTATTATAAACACTTTGTCTTAGATCAGTTTTGGTTATGTAAATTAACTTTATTATTAATTGGAACAACTAATTAACCTGATAAAAATATTTTTCTAATTTGAAATTAGATTGGGAGGGGAAGTGATAATAATGATAATATTTATATAAGTGATAAACAATGATAACAACTCACTGTTATCTAGACCTTATCATATGTCTTAGGTCTTTATTATACTTACATTTGGTTCCACTCTCCATGTGTTCAGTTACCCACAGTTCTTTGTGAAATAAAGTTAGGTAGTGGAAAATTCTAGAAACAACTAATCTGTAAGTTTAAAATAACTAATGCCAGGTGTAGTGGTACTTGTTTGTAATTCCTATTCGTAGGATGCTAAAGCAAGAAAATTTCCACTTTCAGCCCAGCCTGGTCTACTTAGGAAGTTCAAGGCAATAAGTCAAGACTCTTCCACAAATAAAATGAACAAATAAACAACAAAATGGCAAATAGCAAACCTAATTATTGTGCCACATTGCAATATTTGGTATTCTATTGTTGTTGTTAAACTGTTAATACGGCTAATTTATAAATTAAAGGCACCAAAAGTATGAGAAGTAAACCATGAAACTGTACAAAAATCACGTGGAATAATCAAGATTCCCACATAGGAAATGTGGCTTCAGAGTCTGAGCTCTTACCAAGGTAATATGACATTCTTGACCATTGGCAATGCAACTGAACTAACATTGTGCTTGCTGTGGAAGCGATTTACTGCGCATCAACTAACTGCACGTTCATTACAAATGTTGGAAGTTTGAGTGAGGCACTTTGCTGCTTGGCCTACCTCCCTCGGGGCCTTTGCATAATGGACATACGCAGTAAATAATACTGATTTCCCTGGGACTGCGGATCAAATCATGGTAAGTAGGATGTTTTAATAATAATATAGCATCTCCTGGAGTATATGAGAAAATGTGGCAACCAGCAGACTGGCTTTGACACTGTAAAAGAGCAACTTGGGCACAAAATGAGAATCTAGACCTCTTTAAGGTTACGATTATAAACTACCTTAGGAAGTATACTCATGTAGACCTGACTCTTATCAAAGTAAAATAATTCTGAGAACCTACTTTATTATTTGGCCAGTTCCTGATGTATGGCAAAGGCTTCAGAAGCTTTCTTTGGGTTGCAGGAGTCCTTCTAGACAATTAGTACAGACTACCTTCCATGTTTTCAGTACTGGGACCAGACAGAGGAGAGGAAGCAAAAACAGGGAAAACACAAGGCTCAGTCACAAGCACAACTGTGGCAGCCATTTGAGCTATCTCAGCGTCTATTAATCCCCAGCTTGAATCTTCTCAGATGACAGCCAGAAAGGATAACGTCCACAATTGCCAGGATGCAGGATATCGGAGCTGGGAACGTACTCAAGCACAATAGCTGCCAGTGGCACTATGTCCTATCCCTGAACCAAAAAGGATAGGGATGTAGGTCTAAAAGCCTGTGCCAAGCCATGAAGAGCGGTTAATTGACGTGTCTGTCTGAAACTCCTCAGGGCTCCGTGACAAAACGTATAGAACACAATTCAACAAGGAACTTCAAAGTTAATGGCTCTATAGATAAAACGGACTCACTAGTCATGAATAGAATATTTCATCCACTAGCCATGGAATACTTTCTTCTAAGCAACCCCTGGGAATGTCTCCAGGATAGATCACATTTTAGCACATAAAGCAAGTCTTAACATGTAGAAGAAAGTTGAAATGACAACCTGTTTTTTTTTTTTTTTTAATCAGACCACAACAGAACAAAACTAAATACTGAATAATTTCCTTTGGAATTGTCAGTTTGTCACTGGAGAAATAAATAATGGAGCAGAGGAATGAAAAATAAATTCCTAGAATGAAATGAAAATGAAAACACAATTTATCAGAAATTTTGGAACCAAAAAGGGCGGTATCAAGAGAAGTGTGTAGATTAAAAGACAAAGCAGAACTTATTTTAAAAAAATTAATCACCTTGATTTTATTTTGTATTATTGTATCTAAATGTTTAAGACAATCGGAATGCTTGATAAACTGTATAGTTGTCTGTTTTACATAGAAATAACTTTGGAATTTCTACAGAAATTCAAATCATCCAATACTACTATTAATAGTAATAATAATTAATAATAATGCTTCTTAGGGCCAATTTATAAAGTGTCTTATGGAGATGCATTCTAAAAAGCATGAAATTTTAAGAAGCCATCATTCCCATGCATGCTAACATAGTTGATCTGCATAATTGGCTATACACAGACATTTTCTTTTTTTATTGTATAAAGTGGTTTTATTTTTTTATTGTGAAAAAACTGTACAGAAGGGTTACAATTACATGGGCAAGATAATGAGTACATTTCTTATCAAGCATTGTAGCCTCCTCCTTTGTTTCCCCTTCCCATCCCTTCCAAGCCTCCCTGCCCCATACACAGACATTTTCTTAAGGTTATTTTTCTGATGGAAATAATTTTACAAACAATTGATTTCTCCTTGAATTTTCTTTAGTGAAAATTGGTATTCTGATAATGCCTATGAATCTTGGTTCTGCCTAGTAAACATTAGGCCTGGAATTCAAACCCAAGCATGGCCAAATGGCTAGTTATTCTTTAAATAACAGACATATATCAAGAGACACCACTGACGTGTTGCTACTGGACGGCAGCAAGCACAAATGACCTGTTGGACCTGTTGCCTTTCATCACTGGGAGCTGCTCTGATTTCCAGTCTTGCATGTACCTCAGTTCCCTTGTCAGGTCTGAAATACAACTTTTCTTGATGAGCAGTGGTGCTGATAGTAAGCATGGTTTGAAATTGGTCACACAGGGTGCACAAAGAATGTTAGTGTGGAATGCTAAACTCATTTGAGTTAGAGGTATTGCCACACAGAAGAGCTGGAATAGAACGAATGCAGAGGGTATGTAGCGATGTCTCCAATGGGAACCGGCTTGCTTCTCATAACTCAGCTCATCCCAACCTTACCTGAAAATGTACTGACTGACGCGGCTGGAAGGACATGAGACAGTCAGCTACAGCTACAAGACATTCAAAAGGAACCCTTAATATATAAAAGCCCAAGCCGTCCCTGCTCCCCGCTCCCTGGCCCTCTGCAGCCATGATTGAAGCCTGTTCTGGTCTGTTGAGGCCTCTGCCTTCTTTCTCTTGTCTCCTGCGTTTGATCTTTCCTAACACTCATCACTCAGTTTCCTAACACTAAGAAGCATAGCAAGGCAAGACCTTGAAAAATTCTAGAAACCTGTTATTGACATGGAGTGTTTTGTTATTGAGCCTCAGAAGAGTTTCAGATGAAGTGAAGAATACCATGAGGACACACATTCCATCACAAGTTTGTCATAGCTCATTTATGAACTATGAATGACTTCTCAGAATTTGATTCTCACTGTCTCCCATTTAGTGTCAGAATGTACTCTGAGTTATGAAGATATGATCTGCCATAAAATAATTCACCGACTGTGCAATGTAACATTTTTAAAAAAATATCTGATGCTAAGAAATTACCAAATACTATTTAATGACATTCTAAGGGGTCTTTCTAAATGTCTCCATAAAATGACTCAGTTCTCTATCCACATTCTCACTTAGCAGCAGATTTCAAGGGCAAGATCATGGAGCTGTGGCTCAAGTGATAGATTTGCCAGCCTTGAGCCAAGAAAGCTAAGGGAAGGCCCCCAGGCCCTGAGTTCAAGCCTCAGTTCTGGCACACATACATACACACAAAAGTTTAATAAAACTACTACCAAGCATGCATACTCTCTATTTAAAAGGTGAACCTTTGCATAAGCAGCTAAATGTGGATATTCCTTATATATAACTGTAAAAGGTGCAACTCAAAAGTTGGTAGTCAACTCAAAGACTCTAGCTCTAAATCATTTCTTACCACACTTAAAACCCAGAAGTGAAAACCTTGTCTGTATGTAATAGTCCTGATCTCATAGCTTTATTGTAAGAGAAATTCCTTAGAAATTGTCATTATCACCCCTAATCCTTTTGCCTGTCTGACACTTTCTATCCTTTGGCTGCAGAGAAATCCCATTGGATTGTTAAAATGTTAATCACCATTTCTTTAGTGGTACTTGGGTTGAACCATAAGCTTCAAATACATCGGGCAAGCCTTCTACCACTTAAGTAACATCCCCATTCCCTTCACTTTGTATTTTGAGACAGGTCCATTCCCAGAGAGGGTCTTGAGATCAAATCCTCAGCAACCAAACTATGACCAGGCTGAGAATGCTGATACATGTCTCTAATCACAGCAAATAGGAGGGAGAAGCAGGAAGATTGAAAGTCCAGACCAGCCTGGACTACATAGCATTCCCTATCTCAACAATGAATGAAACCAAAATAAAAACCCAAAGCAGAACCCCCAGAACTTTAATCAAGTATGTATGTTGGCAGTCTTATAAAAATGTATCTATTATATGATCTAATTATATTTGAGTGGAATATTAAGCCTTTCAAACTGTCTCCATAGAAAGTTCAATTCTTGAGCTCACTTTTTCAATTATGAGTAAGTTTTATCAACCAATCCCAAGCAATCACCAGACCTGG